AATTATTAAATTTATTACATCACAAAAGTATAAATAATTAATATTATTAGTTTTATATTTATAAATTATTTTATATACAAATTTTATATCTATACATATTATAAAGAGGATAGGTATGTAATCACTTTTGTGCTCCACTTTTTAGTGGATCATGATACCCCTTAGATGTAAAAAAAAAAATCTATCTTTTTTAAATAATTACATATAACTTTCTAAACATGATTATTAAAATTATAACTTTTAAAATTAACTAATTTCCCAATTATTTAAGTTATGAGATTGTTTCAATAATTTACTAACTGAAACAAATTTGTTTTAAACTATTTACTATGACAACCAATGTCGAAAAAGCTAGTTAAACTAGCATATGCAAGGTAAGTATGTTTTTTCTTCTAATTCATTCAAGACACTTTATTGTCACATGTGTATCATACGAAAAACTTCTATATTACTAATGTTATGTTAGAAAAAAAGCTAGTTAAACTAGCATGCCGCATTAGCATTTTTTCTTTTAATTCATTCAAGACACTTAATTGTCACATGTGTATTATGTGAAAAACTTCTATGTTAGTAATGTTATGCTAGTAATACCTACTTTTTTTTTATGATATATGTGAGAGTTAGGTAAAATATTTTATGTCTCTTAATGAAAAACTTTTGTTCTATTAACTTTTTTTTAATAATAATGAAGACTTTTTGTATTTTTTTTCTTTCAAATTACAAGACAAAAGAAATAAATGAAAAGCTTATATTAGTATTAAAAACACTATAATAGAACTATGTTTTTTTCACTAAGAGACATAAAATTATCTTACCAGACTATTACATGAAAAACTCAAGTATCATTAATGTTTTTAAAAAGTAATAGTGATATAACAATTTTCATGTGACGCACACACAACAGTCAAATATTTTAAATTAATTAGAAAAAACCTTAACATAACATGGAAAACACTAGTTTAACAACCATTTTCCAAAACTAATTAACTTATTAACTTCTCTTTCAATAAATTATTTATAAAGATTATTCAATTTGGTCAATTGATCTAATTAGATTAGTATAACTAAGCAATCTAGTTTTGTAAATGTAATAATTTTAAATATTTGTGTTTTTTTTTTATTTCACTTTACAACTAAGTTATTTATAAAAATGACCCAGTTTGATCAATTGACCTAGTTAAATTAGTATAACTAGCCAATTTAATTTTGTAAATGTAGTAATTTCAAGTATTTGTATTTTTTCATTTCTCTTTATAATTAAGCGAGACAAAACTTACTAAAATTTTGACTAATAATGTAAAAGTGTTGAAAAAAATTATCACTAGCATTTTCCATAGGCAGGAGTGCAAATAGGTTGAATAATTTATCGATTTAACTTATTTATTAAAGATGTTATTTTTTTTTGGAAGTCTTTTTGATTGAAAGCCTCAAATTTTAGATTTTTTAAAAGTCTAATAAATTTAATAGGCCTATCAACAATTTAGCTTATTTTTTATTTTTTTAAAGTATTCATTTTTTATTGCTCTTTTAGACAACTTTTTGTTAATTGATTTTGATTATTTTTGTTCAAAATATGTGAGACCCTATCTTTTTCCTTCCCATATTACCCTTACCCTCTCTTACTCTCACTCTCACTACCAAACTCTCTTCGCACTCAACACTCTCATTCACCCCTTTCTCTCATTTCTGATTCACTCTTGTTGCTTGATTCAAGGTGCTGGTCAAGAGTAGGAGTTGGATTTCTAGTTGAGCTGTGCGGAGCTTCTTCTTCTTCTTCTCTCTTTCTTCCCCGTTGAACATTGTCTTCTACTTCCCGGAGCTCGAATTTCTTCACCGAGGTAAGGGAAGTTAGTCTTTTGCTGTGTTGGACTGAAAACGAGTTCTAGGAACTCCTTGATGGTTTGATTTGTTTGATAAATCTGAGCTGAGGTTGTTGAAAAATGGGGTTTTGAGGTTTCGGGGTTTTGAGGGAATTTTTGGGTTTCTTGATGGTTCGTGATTGCATGTTGAAAATGGGGAGTTTTTGTTGATGTTTGATGGAAGTGGGAACTTTTGGCTGGATTGCATGCTGTTTTTCTGGTTGTTTGTGCAGGGTTGGGTCAAATTTTTCAAACTTGATGGGTTGCTGATGAGCCTCGCGCTGAGCGCGGTTCTTCGCGCCGGGCGCGAGACCACCTGGGGGCTCCTTTTTGACAAGCCCGCCGAGCGCAAAGATGTGTGCGTCGGGCGAGCTTGAGAAGGTGAGCCTCTGGTTGGCCCACGCCGGGCAGGTCAGGGATCGCGCCGAGCGCGCAGGCAATATGTGACTTGTTTTTGGGTGGTGGTTCTGCGCTGAGCGCGACCCTAGTCGCGCTGGGCGCGAGACCAAGGGGAGGTCTCTGCCTTCCCCGCGCTGGGCGCGAGCCTAGGCACGCTGAGCGCGTGAGACTCCATGGAGTCTCTGTCTAGCAAGCGCTGGGCACAATTCTAAATTGCGCCAGGCGCGTGAGGCGGTCACGCCGGGCGCAACCATGGGTGCGCCGAGCGCACATGAGGATGTTGAATTGATGTGCTATTAGCTGTTAAACCTTGCTGAAATTGATGAGAGAGGTTGTTTTATGCTAAACTAAGCTGAAATGGATGTTTATGTTGTGCTGACTAGTTGTTATTGCTGAAAAATATGATGTTAAGCTGTGATAGATGCATAATGCTGTGCTGAGTTGGGCTGTTATTGATGATTTTAAATGTTGTATTATAATTGATGAATATTGTTGTGCTCTAAAATGATGAGCTGAGTTGTGAGTAGTTGGCTGTGTTGAATACTACTAGCCGTGTTGTATGCTGATTTGCTGTGTTGTGCCGTGAAATGCTGAGTTGTATGCTGTGTTTGGCCACTATGGTGGTACTATTCTAGCCGCTATGTCGGTGCTGTTATTAGCCACTATCGTGGTGCTGTTATAGCCGCTAAGTCGGTGTTGTTATTGCCGCTAAGCGGTGCTGTTATAGCCGCTAAGCCGGTGCTGATATTGCCACTAAGCGGTGCTGATATTGCTGAATTGCTGTGGTGTAGTATAAGCTGTGCGGATGTGCTGATAGTTGTAGCTGTTTTCTATCATATTGCTATATATGTGTGTTGATTTCTTTACACTAGCTTACCCTTTGTTGTTTCCATGATGTTTGGACTGTGATGATCATACTATGTATGGGAGCAGATCAGGGATATGTTGGTGGCTGATGGTGAGTCTGTAGCGGGCAGGCGGAGTTGATCCTTTAGATCTTTTGTTGTTTAGCTACCCAGTAGTGTAGCCTTTGATGTATTTTGTACACTTTAACTCTATCTAGACTTGGATCATGTATATGTATATATTCTAGACCTTATATGTATACACTTGTTCCTTTCAATGTAGTATTTCTAGTGTGTCGTGCCGTGTGTAGTGACTAGCCGGGTCGTTACAAAATATATGTTAAAATATAATTGCATCAAACTTGTTTAATTAATAAAGAGACTGACCTTGTAACATTTGATAAATTATTCAAAGGCGTTATTAGTTATATTTTTCTAGAAGAAGGTCACGAAACAATATTTAAATATTAACATAGTACGACTTATTAACCTTACTATAGGTATAAATTATTTGACACTTGAATTTACGTAAGTTGGTGATAGAAAATATCAACATTATAGGAAAGATAAATTAATTTAGCAAAACCAAAAATATGAAAGGAATGTTTATTAAGGCAATAAGTTATTAACGCAAAGTACACATCAAAATTTTAAATTAACACATGTAAAATAAAAAAAAAATCACATGGAATAGACAACGAATCTAACAATTGTTATCAATACTCAAGTATTGATATAACCAAATAACATAAATAACTAATAGCATTATCTTTATTTTGTCTTGTACAATTCCTTTTATATATTTGCAGCACTTTATTTTTAACATATTAATTTTTATATTTAAATTGTTTATTACTTCCACGTAATTACTGTAAACAAAAAAAAAGGACAGGTGTGGTTGAAAATGAAAACTCAAAATTTGAATTGAAAGAATAAACACGTGTAAGAGGTGAGGGCCACAATAATATTAAAATATAAAAATTGTAATAGAAATATTGTTTATTCTTAAAAGTACGTAAAATAAAAAAATAAAAAAAAATAAAAAATGTGTTTACTTTCCCAGACAGAAGGAGGGAGAGAAAACGTGAGAAAGTTCTTGGCTCGCTCGCAACTCCGAATATACAAAACGAAGGCACAACACTACACAACTGTCTCGCCTCTCCCATTCAAACATTCACCAACTTCTTTCACCGTAAGATCCTCTCTCTCTCTTCGCATCTCTCACAGTCACACTCTCTCTCTCTTCTCTCTGCAACTTTTAACCTATTTATTATTTATTTAATTTATTATCAACTGTTACCTTTTATTCGGTTGTGGCGGGAACCGGGGTTTTCCGCCGATTCCACATTTTCTCTTCGCTTCGGATTCGCCGTTTCCCTCGAATGTGTCTGCCGCCTTCATTCGCTTCTTTCTTTGCGTTTTCCACATTCGCTTCCGCGTTTTGCAGCGCCGTTTGCGTCTTTTGGTCCCCATAGTTTCCGTCTTCTGAGATCCCTAAAAGGGTTGCATTCTAGGGTTTCGTTTTATTCTCTTGTGTCGGGGTTTCTTCGCGGGACTCTGCGATGCTTTCTTCTTTTGTTTCCAATGTAGGGCTTTACGTAGCGTGCATTTCTTTAATGAATAAATAAATATTTATGTGTAATTGGGTTCTTCTCCTCTCCTTTGTTTTTTTTGGGGTTTGGAACTGGAGGCATGGGGTTTTGTCTCAATCTTGTGTCGCTTCTTTTAGCTTGTTGCATTGGTTCTAGACTGGATTTAGGGGGATGGTGTTTTTCAATTTTGTCGTGGAGATTGTTGTGGATTGGTTTTCGTCGTTGTTGCTTATCTGTTTTGGTATTTGGGATTTTCTTAAGGTTTCTGCTTCTGAGACTAATAGCTTTGACGAGTGAGTTTGAATGACATGAGATTGTGATGCAGTTCAAAGCGTGTTTTAAGTGAATATATGTTTATTTTGCGTTACACTGGGCTTATGTATTCATTTGTTTAGTTTTTGAGTTGCTTGTGAGTGATGGAGATCATATAGAAAACGATGAAGACAATATGTTTTTCCTGGTCAAAATTCATAGGTTTTATATATTTTTTTAAAATTTAATTTGGACAGTTAGAACTAGCTGTAGTGCTAAGGTAGATTATTAGAGTGGCTTCTGTTTGGTGGTTGCTCATTGTTTATTCTGGAACTGTTGAGATTCTTTTATTTTTTGCCCTTCATCAAATGGAACTGCTAGAATCATACCACTGACTGGTTTCGGTTCTGTTAAATTCTCAGTGTAGGGTGCATGTTTGTGACGAGAACTGAGGTTCTTCCTCAATGCCTCTTTTAAGGAGAAAGCCTTTTGCCTTGGCAGAGCTTCCTGTGGATTTGAAGCCAGATGAGCTTGTTTACCAAATTCGATTTACAAAAGAAATATTTCGAGATTATCAGTATCCTATACAGTCATCTAGTGTTGTTTTACTTTGGCATCATTGCTTTTATTTGTCTTTAAATAGGAAGTGGTTTAAAAAGATGGATTTATTTGTGTAACTTTTTAGCATCTTAGGTAAGTTGTTGCAAAGTTAATTGATAATATGTCTTTGCCATTCCATACTTGGTAATGGCAATGAAAGGATAATGGCTCCTTAACATGAAGTAGTGAATATTTGAAGCGATTAAATCTATACCGCCAGAGGGTTTGGATGTGTAAAGTCACTGGAAAAACTGTCTTGACTTATGAAGAAGCCATGGTGTCTGAACAACGTGCTACAGAGAAAGTTCAACAGATTCCTAAAGAATTAATGACTACTGCTTTAAGGATTATTCAATACAGTAAGAGCTATTCTCTTCTGAGTTTTGTGATGAATGAATATATGTTGATACAATGATGCATACCTGTTTTTACTTTATGTATTGCTTTAAAAAATATTGTTCTGCATAAATAATTATAATGTTGTCTGCAATTCTAATCCCTCTTGAATCTGCTGACTTTGTGAGAACGTTTAGTGGTTAATGTAGAGGGTTAACATACAGTATATAAATGCCTCTTTCAGAATGTATCTTGTATGAAAATATGAAATAGAATTTATGTTTGTACCACAGTAGGACTAGTGAGATGAAGGTATTATGCTACTAACTTGAATCGCTCAACCAAAAAATTATTCTATTTTGATCCAATGATGGTATTCAACAGAGAAATTAAAGTAGCTTTTGATTTTTGTGTTGCACTGAATTTGTGGTTCTTATTTTGTTTGGATGTGTAGTTGTCCAGTCTCGTATTGTTCTTATTTTGTTTGGAGTTCTTATTTTGGTTGAAACTAAGTGTTCCATTTTTTATTCAGCACAATATTCAGCAACTGTTTATTGGTTAAACAAGTCATACATCTTTGTTAAGACTTTAAGCTTATTCATGTACATCTGTCAGGATAGTCCTCATAATGTTAATATATATGTCTGCTTTTATTGTCACTCAGACAATTCGAGTTTCAGTTTTGATGTACCCTTTTATACATATTGCTTCATTGTGAGCTGTCATATTAGAAGGCCCTAACTTTTGATCGTAGAATGCTGTACAGAAAATGAAAGTTTGTTCTAGTTTTATCTTAAGAATTAATAAACAAGACTTGTTTTTTCTTGGAGAAGCTCTTGGCATTGTGAGCATTGATATTTTGATTGTTCTCCTTGTAATCTTGTATTTGAGGTATGTCATATTTTTGGTCATTAGACTTTTAACTATTTGAGTGATACTGCTGGCAGCACTTGCAGAGATTAAGTTGAAGTGGTTAAGTGATGACATAACTTTTTTGGAGTTAAGACTGCTTAAATTTGTTTAGTGAAGTTACAAAAAATAGTAAAAAGACATGTTTTTGAGAATTGAGAAACTCAACTACAAAAACCATTTGAGTTTAAGAATTGCAACATAAAATGTTATTTAGACATATGCACGCCAGCTGTTGATTCAAGTTTGATTATATAATGCTTTTCACCCAAAAATTTGTATTTTTCACTTTATACTGGACTGATTAGTGATTTTTTTTTTTTGCAGGCATGCTCCCTTTGAAGGATCTTGCTGATTTTATTGCTGAAAAATTGCAGAAGCGTTTGTTTGTGGGTGCTGAATTACATGGGAAAAAAGATGATGGAGTACATCCATGCAAAATATTAAAAGTCATTCAGAAAGGAGTTGATAAATTCTGTTATGAGGTAGCTTGGCTTGACAAAAACAAGAATATAAGTGAAAGAGCAGAAGTCAGCGCAGAAGATTTGGTGCATAAGAAACCACTTTTTAGTAGAAATATTTTGAAATCTTTTATTCGGGAGTCTACATATCGGAATGCCCCTTGGGTTTTGCATGATGAACTGGCAAAAAATCATGGAATCTCAACTGACATTCCTGAGGAGTTAAGAGGAAGAGTTTTTTTCAAAGACGGACTTTTAATTTGCTCCAAGAAAAGGAAAAATGAGGTAGACATGATAAGGGAAATTCAGAGTTTCTGTTTCTTTTTTGCTTTTCTGTAATAGTATAATATCATTGATAATTGAGAGAGTATGTTAGATAAAATCAAGAGAGGTAAAATGTAATAGTGAAGACTCAATATGTTGCTTCGTGCCACGTGTGCCAACGCAACAAGTATCAAGCGTCATCTTCGGCTGGTCTGCTGCAACCTTTGCCCATTCCTAACGCTGTCTGGGAAGAAATCAGCATGGATTTCATTGTGGGCTTACCCTGTTCTAAAGGATTTGAGGCTATAATGGTAGTGGTGGACCGCTTAAGCAAATATGGGCATTTTGTGCTGATCGAACATCCATACTCAGCCAGAACTATTTCTGCGATTTTTGTGAAGGAAATCATACGCCTACATGGGATTCCCACTTCCATTGTGCGTGATAGAGATCCTACCTTCATGAGCCATTTTTGGCAAGAACTGTTCCGACTACAAGGCACCAAACTGAAGATGTCTACTGCATATCATCCAGAAACCGACGGCCAAACGGAGGTTCTAAATAGGACACTTGAGACGTATCTACGATGTTTTAGTTCCGAGCAACCGAGAGTTTGGGCTGATTTTATTCCTTGGGCAGAGTATTGGTATAATACCAGTTTTCAGGCTTCAGCAAAATGCACCCCGTTTGAAGTAGTTTACGGTCGACCACCACCATCCTTGGCACGATTTGTTCCGGGGGGGTGCCAACCATAATTTCATATCACAGCGTCTCGTAACGGAACTCGGTCTCACAGTATACCAAACAAAGACATCCTTTGTAAGGCTCGGTGACGGGAATCAAAGCAAACATATGGTAGTTGTAGCAATGTGCAAATTCGCATAGGCGATTACACCATGACAGGAGAATTTTTCATCTTTGATCTTGGGGGAGTTGATATCATTCTCGGGGTGGCTTGGTTGATGACGTTAGGAGAGGTTAAAGTAAACTGGAGGACCCTGCAAATGCAATTGATACACCAAGGACAGCTGGTTACCATCCAAGGCGACCCCAGCCTCTCCAAAGAAATGATCGCGGCTAAAGCTTTGCGGAAATTGACTCCTCGTTCGGTAGAATCCCTGACCATGTTGTGGATAGGCGAAACCCACTGGGACACAACCCACCAACTGACCCCCGATCAAGAGACACAATTGCAACAAGTCCTCTCAGAATTTATGCCAGTTTTTTCTAAACCTCACGGCCTTCCGCCTCAATGAGACACTGACCACCGGATTCCCCTCAAAGCCAGGATCGACCCTATCAATGTAAGACCTTATAGATACCCATACCTACAAAAAAATGAGATCAAAACACAGGTGAACGAAATGTTAGCAGCAGGACTCATCAGGCCAAGTAATAGCTCGTTTTCGAGTCCAGTCATCTTGGTCAAGAAGAAGGACGGTAGTTGGAGATTCTGCGTGGACTATCGCGCCCTCAACAAAGCCACGATTCCGGACAAATTTCCCATTCCGATGATAGAGGAACTACTGGACGAACTCAGAGGCGCCACCTACTTTTCTAAGATCGATCTCCGAGCGGGATACCACCAAATCAGGATGGCTGCACCAGATATTCAGAAGACAGCTTTCCGCACGCATCACGGACACTACGAATCTCTGGTCATGCCTTTCTGGTTGACCAACGCCCCTGCAACATTCCAATGTGTTATGAACTCCGTCATGAAACCATTCCTTCGCCGGTTTGTGTTAGTCTTCTTTGACGATATCCTGATTTACAGTGGCACGTGGGAAGAACACCTTCTGCACTTACGGGCTGTTTTAACCAAATTAAAGGAACACTGTTTGTTTGCCAATCAAAACAAATGTAGTTTTGGGTGTACAAAGGTGGCATACTTGGGGCACATCATCACCAAAGACGGGGTGTCAATGGATCCTCAAAAAATTGATTCTATCCTCCATTGGCCACTCCCGAAAAATATCAAAGCTCTTCGCGGCTTCTTGGGTCTCACAGGATACTATCGTCGCTTCATTTGCGATTATGGCAAGATCGCAAGGCCACTCACGGATTTGTTGAAGAAGGGCAGTTTTCACTGGTCTGCCACAAGCACGTCAGCATTCAAACAATTACAAATGGCTGTCACTACCGCACCGGTCTTAACGATGCCAGATTTTGCCAAACCATTCGAAATCGAGTGTGATGCGTCGGGCAAGGGAGTGGGGGCAGTGCTTATGCAGGATAAGAAGCCCATCGCCTTTTTCAGTAAGGGACTCGCGGATTCGAGTCTCACTAAATCAATTTATGAAAAGGAATTGATGGCACTCGTCCTAGCCATCCAACATTGGCGCCCATATCTCTTAGGCAGAAAATTCACGGTTTATACTGATCAAAAGAGCCTGCGTTATTTGTTGGAACAGCGGATCACCACACAAAACCAACAAAACTGGTTGGCTAAACTTTTGGGTTATGACTTCGACATTGTTTACAAGGTGGGGGCCTCCAACAAAGTGGCGGATGCGTTATCTAGGCTCCATGAGAACCCAGAATTGCAAGCTATTACTAGACCTTTTTGGCAGGACATAACCGAAATTGACGAGGAAGTTCGCAAAGATTCTGATTTGGAAAAAATCAGAACTGCCTTGCTACACGACCCCAACTCCTATCAATACTATACCTTGGAGCATGGCAGGCTGCATCACAAGGGAAGGTTAGTTTTATCTGCCACATCCTCTTGGATTCCCAAATTATTACACGAATTTCACACCTCACCTACGGGAGGTCACTCCGGAATCTATCGAACTTATAGACGAATGGCTCAATCTCTCTATTGGATTGGCATGAAGCAAACCGTGACTCAATATGTTGCTTCGTGCCACGTGTGCCAACGCAACAAGTATCAAGCGTCATCTTCGGCTGGTCTGCTGCAACCTTTGCCCATTCCTAACGCTGTCTGGGAAGAAATCAGCATGGATTTCATTGTGGAGTACAAGAACATGAGTTGGCTTTTATGATTGGTTTGTTATTTTGTTAATTAATTTTAGTGCATTATTTTTTGTCCTAAATTTATCATTTCCAGGAATCACTGGAAGACAGTGATGGTAAAAGGAAGAAGTTGGTTGGGGCACAAGTCGTTGATTCTGGCCTGGAGAAAGGTAAGGCTTATAGACTGAAACCAGTTTTAGCTGCACGTTAATTTGATTTTATCCTTTTATTGTGTGCAGTAGTCTAATTCATTCATTTCCTGATAAAATACTTTTCATAAGCCTAGAGTTTTGTTATTCATTTTTCTCCTCTATATTCTCTCGGTCTATTTTGTTGGAATTGGGTGGTATGGAGAGAATGCAGGTGCATCTCTCCTTTTTTACCAAAGTAGAAAGTGATTTCTCGTGGTTTAGAAATTAGAATGGTCTGATGTTTCTTTCCCTTTACATCATACAGCTATCATTATACATAAATATCTTTTTAACAAAAAAACCTTGAAACTACTTTCTCTTGCAATATGACTTTATCTAAATAAAAGGTTTTTGTGACCACAAATTTTCAGAAAACGGCCGACACAAGGATGAACCAATCAAATACCCCATTGATGATTTATTGGTGAAGCCTAGTCCAGATGATCCTGTTTTCACTGATCGTCCTTCTCCATCAAGAGACTTCAATATTCCAATGAGTTGCGTAGGGGATCTCTTAATGGTTTGGGATTTTCTTACTTCTTTTGGTAAACTGTTGCACTTGTGGCCATTCTCTCTAGAAGATTTTGAAAATGCAGTCTGCCATAAGGATAGCAATGTGGTTCTCCTTGTGGAATCTCATGCAGCACTTTTTCGACTTCTCATCAAAGAAGATGATGAATGCTCCTCGGCTGTGAAGAAGCGAAAGTTGAAGTCTAAGGTTACCATCTCACTCACATACATTTCTTTTTGTTACTGTTATTAATAGACAATTGTCCATATTTTATGAGATATTGCGATGGCTTGACCCAGTTGAATATTTCTTTTTTCAGTATCCTCTGTAACTTGGTTAATGCTCTTCTCATCATTATTTTATTGTGACAATATCTCATTCATTTTAATTTTCAGATTACAATGATTAATTGGACAGAATATTTATGCAATTTCCTAGAGATGATCAATATTCCTGAACTACAGCACTGTGAAGCAACTATAAAACGGGGACATTATGGCCTTGTGGATGCCAGTGTTAAACTAGAAATCTTATGCAATTTGGTCAATCGAACAGTTGGATCTGCAATTTTCAGGGAGAAGTTAGATGTGATCATTGAACAGCGGCAGGCACTTGGGGCCACTAGAAGGGAAGAAGCACTGGAAAAAGCTAGGAGGAGAAGAGAAGAAAAGGAGCGGTTGAAAGCTGAGGCAGAAAGCAATGGATATGTGAATGGGCATCATATGAACGGTGCAAATGTCCTTACAAACAATATGCATGGTATACAAAATGGAGAAGCACAAAATGGTGATGTGGGAGAGAAAAGTAAGATAAAGATAGAATCATCTGGGCAAAACGATCCATTGAGTGGAAGGTTAGATTTTATCACATGTGCTGTTTTTGCTTGCCAATATGTATCTACAAAATACCTTCTTCTATTTGGTGGTTATTACATTTCATTTTATTTCCTTCTAAAAATTAATTTGTATTTTGCAGTGGGATCAACCATTTAAATACTGCTTCAAAAAAGACGCCTAAGAAGCAAAATTCAGAGCTGAAAGAACCAATGGAAAATGGAAAAGAATTATCCAGAAAGGAATCACCGAAACAGTTGAAGGGTGATAAGAATCCATCAGAGAAGAATAGTGAAGAACAGAGGGTGCTGCCTATCTCCCTGTTTAGATTGTTGTCTATTCATTAAATTGATCTTTATTGACTGTGTCTATTGTACAGAAGGAATATTTTGAACGGGAAATGGAGAAACGAATTATTCGTAGAAGCCCATTAGGTAAGGATAGAGATTACAATAGGTATTGGTGGTTCCGTCGTGATGGGAGGATATTTGTTGAAAGCTGTGACTCCAAGGAGTGGGGATACTACAGCAGTAAGGAAGAGGTACTAGATGAAATAGATTTCCATTTTTGCATTGTTATTTGTCCACATTTTTTTTCTTCTAATTTCCTGTTGGTTTGCTTGAATAGCTTGATGCATTGATGAGTTCACTGAATTGCAAGGGTGAGCGGGAAAGGGCACTGCGAAAACAATTAGAAAAATATTATAACAAAATATGGTAAGTTGGATTTTTCTTTTATGTATGAATACCTAGGTAGCTTTTTCCTTGTTTTCTATTCGTGTAGTAAATTAGTAATGAAGCTATATCTTGATGAATACTTCAGCAGAACCTTTGATTTTCACACTTGTAGTCCAATGTGCACATACGCCACTAAGGTCATGCTGTAAGCAGATAAACTTAAATGGAAGACTAAATCAGAAATTTGCTGTTGTACGTGATGTTAGATTGTTAATGTTGTTATTATGCAGAAGGATCTTCAAGTTGGCTAATCAATATTCTGGAGCTGTTTGCTGTGGCTTGAGTGAAATATTATATACTCTAATTTAATATGAATGTGGTTGTATTATTGACCATGATAGAATAAAAATAACGTGATGTCCATCAATCTTGTTTCCAATTTAGATGTTGTGAATAAACTTTCTATCTTTATTCTTTAACTGTATACTTAGAGTGTGAAACACAACCGTGAGAAATTAAAGAGAAAAAGTGGGGGTGAGAGGGGAGTTGACAAAACGAAGAGAAGTGCGGGGAAACTATTGATATAATATTATTTAGTTTTTGCCAAAAAATTGTAATTCACTTTTTCTGTTGGGATGTAAATTTACTTTAGTAGTACTAATTTGTAGTATTTTATCTAACAAACATTTGAATTAGATAATATTCTGAAACTTTTGGAACAGAGCAAGGAATGGAATTTTTTGTAAGCTGACTCTGTTCACTTTATTAATTGTTGAGATTTTATTTTTTTAATCATTTCTCTCCTTGAATTTTGAGATTCATTCGTTTATCTGTATGTTTACAGCTTGGAATTCCAGAAAAGATCGAAGGATTTGATGCACAAGATTTTGGATGAGTCTGTGCTTCGAAGGTCTACTCGTGTTAGAGCTCCACCTAGACAGAACCCTGCAAATGCTTTTCTCAGATATGTTAACAAATGGAAAGAAGAATAGGTGGTGCGGGGGGAATACGGTAAAGTCAATCTTCAAACAAATGAAACTTGGAACTTTTAAAGGAGCAAGTTTGATTCATAGCCTTGACAGTAATAGGGATTAAGTAGTTTTCCGATCCATTTTTGGATGATGGACAAGCATGCATACTTGCATGCTTGTTTCTGAAATTTTGTACATGACTTGTCCGATTCTTCAATAATAGCGCAACCGGTGAAGGAGAATACCTTTTTAACTTCCTCTATTTATCCATAATATGGTAGCAAAGATAAGTTATTTCAGTACTCTACCATGGTTCTAATAAACATACGTTCTAATAAACATACTTTGGGATTTTTTTATTTATGAATTCATACTTTGGGATATAAGATGACCTGTAGAGGCTCACTGTTTTGTGTATTTACTCATAATTTTCTTGCATGAAAGCAACTCACCAATTTTGCTCGAGCATTAGGTAGTGCATATTTGTTTTCGCATCGTTGATCCGCGTTATTGTATTTTCACAAAGAATAAGAAAAAGATGCAGAAGCAAGCTTGAGTAACTTAGCGATATTGAACCTGTTTGGAGACAAAGTAGAGGTGTTTTTGTTCTTTAGTATAAGAGTTTTAAAAAATACTTTTAAATTTGTATTTATGTAAACTTATAATGTATTTTCACATACAGAATAAGAAAAGGATGCAGAAGCAAAGTATAAGGGAGGCGTGAAAAATCATGTCGTGACCAAACATGCAAGTAATCTCTTTGGAAAGGAATAGCCATTGCTGCCAAACTCGAGTGAAACTCTAAGCAACAGTACTTTAAGAATTGACCGAATGAGCGAGACATTTAGGTCCTGGTTTAATTTATTAAACTAATTTAATTGGTGTTTGAACTGAATATCAATAGATATCTGTTCCGGTGTATAATTGGTTCATTACTTCTTTTTGTATTTCAAAATATTATAAATTTGTGATCGAGACAAAATCAGTTGAATTATATAGGGAAAATCTTCCTGAAATTTGTATTTCATCTTGTAAAATTTGACAAAGTAAATCATTAATTATAATGCGAATTTATTTAAATATGATTTGATATCAACCACAATTTTATATTTTATTTTGAGGAAAACTTTAACAATATGCTATTTTTTTATTCATAAGAATTAGGGTATTCAAATTTAGGATCTTACACATACTCTTATTTTATATTTTAACATAATATAGAATTATATTTTAAAGTATGAGATCAAATACAATATATAGTAATTCTAATGGAATTACAATATTTGAATTTAGGATCTAACACATACTACTTTACAATTTTAAAGTAATAATATATATGAAAACTTTTATACTTTAAAATTTAAATGCCTCATTAATATTTATTATTATTAATCTTAAATTACGTCATGTCACTTATTATTATTATTATTATTATTATTATTATTATTATTATTATTACGTCTTTCTAGTTGTCGATTAGATTTGGAGCGATCAACAAGGTTTAGAACATTCAATAAATAGTTTGACTGCTTAAGTATGTTATACAGTGTTATATTTATGTACATCTGTAAAAAGAAGATTTTATTGGAAAAGATAAAATCCACTTAAATGATTTTTACATCTTGAAAAAAAGTATTTTTTGGTTTAAAAAAACAAAATTTGGATTATAGCATCCATCAATCCATTTTGAAAAGTAAAAGGCACATTCATAAGTTATTTTTTATTTTATAATCATGACATCGATAAAAAAATATTTATTATAAAAAATAACAGTTAATGATAGACATTTTTCTCCCAACATAAATATATTTTATATTCAAACCAAAAATTTGAATCTTCAATATCTTAATTAAAAGACATAAATTGTTACTACATGTGTGTTAGAATGTGCTCCATAAATTTGGCACACTTAACACTTTTATTTTAACTGATTTTTATTTTTTCACTTTATACCAGGTAAATTGTTGCTAAATTCTCACTTGGTCATTGCTTTTTTTTCTTTCGCGGATCAGATTGTGCGTCTCGTGTTATGATAATTATGGTACTACGTATGAGATTTTGTTTAAACTTCAAAAAGAAAACTATACGCTGGACACCAATAAAACAACAGGATATGCAGACATTTCCCATGTGAGCAACCATGTGTCTGGTTTCATGTCTAAATCCAAAATTTTGCTTAAAAAACGTGAAAATCAAAAGCTATTCGAAGTAACTTCTCCCTTGAACATGACGGGAAACCAAAAAATCAAAAAGGTGTTAAGAGTCTGTTAAGATATAAACTAGGAACACTTTTGGAAACTTATATATTGAAAACAAAAAGTGTTCTACGATAGGAAAACCATTTACGGTGTTGCTAAGTTTGTATTCCTACATGCTCTAAGTCATACTACGCAAATATATATTGTGTAGCTTACTAAAAAATCCTTATTAGGGAAAAAAAAATCATAAACTGAAAGGGAGGAGTGAATCTCTCCAGTGACATTTTCACCGGATGAGATCATAGTCATTCAAATTGAATATAGTTTGTTTTTATTATAAAATGAGGATTTAAAAAATTTAAGGTGAGATTTTAACACTTTAAAATCATAAGTTTTTTTTTTCCCCCCTACTTGAGAGAATCCCTTCTCATATAATGGGATACAGCAACAGTACTTCTCAATTTTGTACATGAATTTATTTTGTAAGCTCCAGCTTTTTTAATTTACTTTCTTGGAGCATGTCTAGCTTTTACAATATTTTCCGGCTTTTTTCATCTGTTTCATGACATGCCAATGATGAGCATTCAGCGATTATTATTTTTCACCTTGGTGTACCTACATGAGTAGATGAGCTAAAAGCAAAGTAACACAAAATAACAGATTTTATTTGAACATTCCCTGCAATAAGTTTTATTGTGACGACAAATAACACATCAGAATTGTGTTCTCAGGGCACCAACACATTGCAACTCCAAAGCACATAAACCTTGTAAGCCGTTGCTGCAGAAAAAGCATTGCTGGGAATATAAGCTATATTATCTCGATTACGGCTCGACCGACAATTTTTCCTTCATTGAGATCTTGGAATGCTTTGCCTGCCTCCTCAAAAGTGTATCTTCTAGAAACAGCATGATTAAGATTGAAGATACCTGTTTCGGCTAATCTAATTAACTTTGGAAGATCTTGCCTTGCCCTGCCTCCATATGAGCCAATAACTTGTATCTGCTCGTATACAAATTTAATATGTGAGAAGAAACCATTATAATGCTAAACTTAGAATGTGTTTGATAAAACTTGAGACTTTGTCATGCTTGAATATACTCATTGAGTGTACAAAAGGTGTATTTAATGGTGTGTTTGGGGGAGGTGATTTAGTAAGGAATGGAGAAAAAAGGAAGATTATCAAGGAATTAAAAAAAAAAAGTGTTTGGACAAGATGATTTTAGTAGATTTGTGAGGAAATTGTAGTGGGACTCGTGGATTTAATTTCACTTTTTTATGAGTGGAGGATTTGTATGAAATTTTTATCAAAAAAATAATTGAACAAGACTTGCATTATTGTCTAAATAATATTTTTTACATTAAAATCTAACTATATAAATTTTAAAAATACCAATTTCTCTTTATTTCTCACCTAATTCCACTTTTCCAAACAACTACAAATTTCACACTATTCCCTACCTATTTCCTATCAAATCAATTCTCACTTATTCTTTTCTATTCCCTTCAATTCTTCCCCCTCATCCAAACAAAACATAAGGCTCCTCTGAGTAAGTTGGGATGTATCAACCATCATTTAATTTAAAGTGCATCATGATCTTAACCCAGTAAAAATCCTTAGCTTGTTTTAGAGGCAATCTCACTTGAGGAGCTTTTTCCATTAAAATGTGCTAGTATGCGACACTGCTACTGATATTTAGTAAAATAAATGAGGCTAGTAGGCTACACTAAAGGAAACTGATGTCATTTTAATTCGTTTTTTTAGATAAAATGTCACTAAATTAAAATATACTGAACTTTTTAGATCTTCATTAGCAAACACAACAATATATTTTCAGTCTAAAAATTTCAACCAAAAGAAAATCTTCAATCAGTTTGTTCAAGTAAAGGCAAATTATTTTTACTACCTAGTCCTTAAAAGCCTGACTTTGGCTTGGCCAGGGGAAGAGGAAGACTACTAAGGAGGCAAATTGGAAAAAGGAGAACCAGATTGGCTGACAAAACAAACATTAATATGCTATAATCATAATAAACAGTTTAAATTCATTTTGAATGGCGGTAGTGGTTATATGTGGGAGTACATGTAACAAAAACAGCGATTGTGTATATACAGAGAAAGCACCTTTCTGCGAACAAGCCGATTTATGTCCACCTCTCCTAAAGAACCAGCTTGTGCCAGACCAATCATCACGGCTTTTCCCCCATCCCTCACACTTTGTGTACATTGAGCAAATGTCTGTGATTTTCCCAATGCTTCCACAGCAACATCAACACCCTTTCCACCAGTAATTTCCTGTGTGAAGTATTGCAAACAATTAAAAAACACGGGTCCCTTCAAGTGAACAAAATGATGCATGATAGTGTGTAAAAAGTATTAAGTATGTCAAAGTTATATATATATATATATATATATTTGCTCCATGGACATAATCCACACAATGTTCCAAAACTTACAACTAAAGATTAATCTGTACTTGTGGGATGTGGTTTCCGCTGGCCATGTAAGATGTGTAATTAGAATTAAGTATGTCAAGGTTAATATAAACACATAATAAATGAGCTACTCTTCCTTTTTACATGTCGAAATATGCAGCACATCCTTTTTAAATTTTGTGATGGAGCAATCATTCAAGAGCCATAGATAGAAGGTCTTTTTTGGCTTTGACAATTTTCTAATGAAAGTCATCTACAACAAATACTGATTCAACTCACGATAGATGCATATTGGGAAAATGTAAACAATAGGCAAAAGGAAAATGCATATACAATTATCTTTTCAATGGGATCTTCCTTTGCTGAATTTACAGTGTGAGTAGCACCAAATGTCTTTGCTTTCTGTAGCTTTTCATCCCGAACATCCACAGCAATTATATCTGAGGCACCAAAGGCTCTAGCTATCTGCAAACAACTGGAAAGGGTGATAAAATTAAAAGGAAAAACAATTTGATTAGAGCCAATTGCTCTAATACATGGTCAACTTAGGATAACTACTAATTCCAGATTATTATGTAGCTGAGTATATCAAATAATCTAGTGAGCAGAGGGGTTCTACAATTTATACAGCTCTTCTCAAGTTCTTAATTGCCTAATGACTAGCATATGTAATGTTTTGCATAATATCAGACACTTAAATGTATAGTTCCCAGAATGTTTTCAACAATTCAAACCT